TTTGTTTATGTGGTTTTGTTCCTCCTCGAGAAATGAGAGAGAGAGAGAGAGAGAGAGAGAGAGAGAGAGAGAGAGAGAGAGAGAGAGAGAGAGAGAGTACCTGAGTCCAGCAACTGGAAAACGGAGCCCACAGTATCGAATTCAGGTGTGAATCTGCAATGTGTGAGAAATCTGGTTGAAAATGTCGCTGTTTGCAAATGAAACACTCATGGAAGTATTCCAGCATTCTTATGGACGTGGAGACTTTCGTCTTCAACGTGAGTTTATTGTCCGTCATGTCGACTGCACCGAAACTAAAAAAGGGTTTTCACCGTCAGAGGACCAATTCATACTACTTGACTGTCGATGGAAAGTTTATGGGAAGATGATCCTCGGGACTCTTGGAATCTCTGAGAAAATTGTAAGAATCCCCATCTGTAAGGGAACATCCACTGGGGCCATTGAAGCTGGGAAGAGAAAAGGAAGACGCTCGGCAGCTGTCAGAGAAAGTAATGAAAAACTTTCTACCGTCAAAATTGCTCATATTAAGAGGTTCCCCATTGTTGAATCCCATTGTTGTAGGTCATCTTGAAGCAAAGAATACCTACACCCCAGGCTGAACATACAGAAGATGTACCGAATATTTGTGAAACAATATATTGGAGAGACACGTTAGGTTTCATAACATATTCTAGTCTTCAACATGAAGAACCTTGCCTTCCATCGGTCAAAAAAGGACCAATGTTCTCTAGCTCTGTGTTCACTTACAGGGGCAGGGGATGAGCTGAAAGAACCAAATCTGAACATTTGCTGCCAGAACCACATAGCTGAAAAGAACAACGTCAGAGAACTGAAAGAGAAAAGCAAAGAAAAAGGATAGCAGGATGATGGACTTTTAGCTGCAAAGTTTGATCTTCAACAGGTCATTTACTTTCCATTTTCAAAAGAAAGCGCCATGTTTTATAAAAGCAGACTGTCAAACTATAATCTGACATTTTACAACCCACCGGTCGAAAACTGCTTCGTAAATTCTTCGTAACAGCTCATGGAGAAAATGAAGGTGACTCAGTGCACAGTACAATAAACATCGCATTGTCAAAGGCAGGGGACGTTTTTGTCCCGACCGAGTTGACAACAATCATAAAACTTCTGAGAGCAAACCAGCCGTACCATGCGTTCCAATTGGGGTATGAAGATTTCTTGGACTTCAAGTAAGAATCGTGGACTTACGTATAATGAATGTTCTCAGGGATTCAGAAACTGACGAAATCATAAACTGGAGCAATGTTATCGAAACGATGCCTGTTATATCCAGTCTTGGTATTCTCCAGTCTTGGGTGAAACTAATAAGATGTGCTTTTCCTATTCTTTTTTTAGAGGAAACAAAAACAAAACAAAAACTGCAGCGCCATCTGAAGCAAAGGGCGGACCTCCGCGGACACTTTCTTGGCTGGGTGAACTATGTTCTGTGTCTATATTATACGATCTTTGGCTAAAAACCAAAACTCCATAGATCAAGTTATTGCTGTGTCCAAAACCGGATTATCCTAATATTAGACATAGCCTCAGAAACTGTCTAATATTTTTTGCAGACTTTTTGTCCAATTAGTTAACCAAACCAATTTATAAGCCGAGCAAAGGAACTACGAACGTCATGATAAGGGTTAAGCCACATCTGATTGCGCTCAGTGAAAGAAGCAAAGGTATAGCACAAAGTCAGGCAAACCAGTGGAGGCAACAACCTACAGCCCTGCTTGCAACAAGGGATTCTGTGCTGTTTTGAGGCATGCCACAATAATAGGACAATTGATCTTGCTCATCAGTCGTGAACAACGTGAGTAAATTTCGTTATTAGGTAAACAGTGCTCACTCTTAAGGTCACCTTGACCTACTTTTTGAATCATTGTCGCATGCTGTGGTAGCCAGTCCATTCATCAACTTTGTGTAAAAAGTTGGAAGAAATCTGTTTTCACAAATATTAACGTTATTTAGAAAACAACACTATGACTCATTTTTAACAGTTCTATTGAACAAAAAAGTAAGGATAAAAGAAAGTAATAATTTGGGAAAATGTAGGACACTAAACGTTAAGTAAAAATGAACACAACAACTGTGTAACTTACCCATACATCAGCAGCAACAATAACAACAGCAACAGAAGCAACATTGATGGGAACAATAACAGTAAGAACAACAATCACACTACCCCGAAGAAAAAAAAAAGAAAACATGTAAATGTTTCATTTTGTTTTATTGACAACCAACAGAACAGTCTGTGTCCAATCTGTAACAGTCTCTCTGTCTTCTCGTAGTGTTATTTCTTCCTTCCGATGAGCATTATTCTTTGATCGATTCCAATACCAACACCAGTCTCCCTCTACGTCTGTAAGTTTGGCAGTTTGCTGATCGTTGGTGTCTCTTGGTCTTAGACTGCGTCTTTTGTCTCACATCCCAAAACCGGTGAATCAGTCCTGTCCAAAGAAAGTCGATGGTCAGTATCAGAAGACGTTGATGAAATCAAAGGGTTAAAACGGACACCACCACATGAGCGCAGATAAGACAACAACACCCCAACAGGATCAACACAGTACGATCAGTAGTTTGGGCTCTCTGCAAACACTGTACGATCAGTAGTTTGGGTTCTCTACAAACACTGTACGATCAGTAGTTTGGGTTCTCTACAAACACTGTACGATCAGTAGTTTGGGTTCTCTACAAACACAGTACGATCAGTAGTTTGGACTCTGCAAACACAGTACGATCAGTAGTTTGGGCTCTCTGCAAACACAGTACGATCAGTAGTTTGGGCTCTCTGTAAACACAGTACGATCAGTAGTTTGGGCTCTCTGCAAACACAGTCATTGTCATTTCATGTCCGACTGTAATGCCAGCGTTCATGGTTCGATCCCACAGCACGGTTATTTAGAATGTGTGTCGTGCGTTTCGTTATTCCAGACCTCCACTCAGCTGATGGTCATTAGGTCAGAGTGCCTACAGAGTAAATTGCATTGTTCTTTTGAAACGGGTTCTTAACCAGTACCTCAGCCAAATAGTGATGTTTCTATAGGGGGTGGGCCGAGATGGGGGAAGAGAGTGGCTGTAGATGTAAGTTGTTACACCCCAATGTTTTTCTTTTGTTGAAACACATAATTTCGTCCCACATCTTGGGTACTCAACAAAGACGGACACTGTATGTATAGTAAGACTTAGTGGCACGATGTCCTCTCTTTTATCTGTCTCACAACGTTTTATACATTGTTAACTAGTTTTGTACTGAATATGTCAACATCGTCTTGAATGATCTATAGTGTCACAGGTGTATTTACCGGTAACTGTGTCGTTGCATATAACTAAGCACTTCGTTGTCACACACAGGAGATCCAAGGTCGATTCCCGAGTGGATTCTTTTCGCCGGGATGATGTATCCATCTCAACATTGATTGGCCTTTACAGGAAGGATCTGAAGCTCCCCAAGTGTCTTGGGGAACAGACAGATATAGAAATTCATTCGTACCAACTGCAGTGAGGTTACTGAACACACAGCGCTACAAATGAAACAGAGAGAGAGAGAGAGAGAGAGAGAGAGAGAGAGAGAGAGAGAGAGAGAGAGAGAGAAAGAGAGAGAGAGAGAGAGAATGTTTTACGGAGCGGGTTGTCCCAGCCCGTGAGACATGTATTTACTTGGCCTAATGTCCTGTCTTGTTGTGCGTTTGCGTGAGTGCTCCTTTAAGTCTAACTTTTGTAACGTCTACTGCCATTGTTAACGACCAAGACAAATTTCTCCCTGCGAGATGAATAAAGATTGTCATTGTCATTGTCATTGTCATTGTCATTGTGATCTAAATTGTGTCGGTACGGGTGTAAAACACCAACATAAAAAACGATGTATTAAAATAAACAAAATTGTTTTGTTACTTTGAATGAGTAAAGTGTAATACCATAACGCAAACTGTCATTACTAGAGTGGACCGAATTCAGGGTTTTTTTTTTTTAAAGAAGCAGAACAAAAATAAATTAAGATCAGGTTGACTGAGCAGATCTGAACTTACAGTAACAAAAATGAGTAAAAGAAGTACCTGTAACGTGCGAAGAATACTTTCCACGCACTGAAATTCATCCAAACATAAAATATTAACTTTTCCTGTTATAGTTATACCACTGTGTTCGATTCATAGTCATTTTTCAAAATCTGATGCTGCTTTCGGCAGAACCTACTATTAATTTGTTGCTGCTGTTGTTTCTTTTCTGATGATGATGGCGATGATGATGATGACGACAACGACGATGAAAATGATGTTCATGATAATGATGATAATCATGATGGTGATGATGTTGAGTCAACGAGCTCTATGGACTGTTTTGGACTAAAGGAGTATTGCTTTATAGCCGGTGTTTTGATTTCGGGAATTTCCTGAAGACAGGGTCATTCCTGCAAGAAAATTGGAGGGGGAGGGGGGGGGTGTTTTTTCGAGTTTTGGGTTTATGGCTCCATCGACACAAATATAGGTCAATTGTGCGCAACGACAGGAGAAAGAGACAGGAAACAAGAAAAGGGTTGCTGGACACAAGGAAACAAAATAAGGAAAGGACATTTTAACGACAAGTATACTGCCTATGACGACGGGTATGCAATTAGCATTGTGCCCTCATGACGGAACGCAGTTTATTGTCTTACCCAAGACACGCCCTCTGTAGTTCCAATCCAGTTATGAACATACTAGTGTGATGAGTGTGACCATTTACATCAAAATGCCACTGGGCTGGGATCTTTTTCTGTGTGGCCCGATGGGTTCATGTAGTACAAAGTATGTGTCAGATACACTGATAGTTCAAATAGAGGTAACAGCACACAAGCATGCCATTCATCTGAAGCGGTGGCCATTTTTGTCAACACTAAACTAATGTAGGTCTACACATTATGTGGCACCCACTGTCCACCAACTAACCGCAAGCTACAAGCTAGCATTTGTGAGGCAGCGTGGTCGAATCAGGCTCTCGTCAAAATAATCAAAGTGAAGAAACTTGCTGTTTCCACAGGTTTGTGAACGTTTATCAAATTTTTGTTTTTTGGCTCGACACCTTTCATGCCCATTAAAGAACTCATTTCTGTGTGGATTTTTCTGAAAAACGTTGATTAAAGCAACAAAAAGTGTAAATTTTTGAGTTACCACGGACTATTAAGATAAGGAAATAACTAATCTTTGGAGGCCATTTTCTCACAAATTTTACCTCGGAAAACAGGTGACCCCCACCTCCTTCAATCGTAAATATCTCGACTTGTATTCAAGATAAATGGATATTTGTTTCATCCAAATAAAGACAAGTGAACAAGCTTTAAGATGATACCAATTACTCTACACGCCCAAAAATTGACGAGAGCCTGATTCCACCACGCTACCTCACATATGGCCCGGTATGCGTTTGAGCACGCGGCTTTTGGTGTGAACAGACAAACTTTCATCCAGCGCGGGCTAGCTAACAGCTAGCGGTCGGTTAGCTGTCGTAGCTTTTGGTGTGCACACTCGAGCGACTTGCTTCCTCCCGCACCATGGCGCGGCACGGCTCTAGCTCGGGTCGCGGATTTTGGTCTGCACGTATCCTTAGGCGGTGTTCACATATTATACAGGAGTAATGAAGCCGAGTAAGACAAAATGTGTTAGTTGAAGCTCAGTAGGTCGGGACTACTCTGGATACATTTCGCCGAGCAAACGACCTCCCTCCCGAGTGATATTTTCAAAGGTGCTTAAAAATTTTCGTCTTGCGAAAAATTTGTCGCCGGGTCAATAACTCGCTCTGGGAAAACTCGGGGAAGACTCGGGGAGAGTCAGAAAAAGCTCGGCGTGCAAAGTTGCACACGTTGCCGAGTGACAGTGACACGCTGACAACATCTGGATGGTAGCCGAGTTAATGTCCATACTCTGCGGGTTAAATTATTGCTCGCCGTGTAAAAATCTTGCACGGGGAGTCTGGCTTCCTCAAGCACGGTGTGCAAAAGTTGACACGAGGAGCTTGTGCCTCATGTTTGCCTTTTGGATGGTGGGACCAATTTTTCTAGTTGTTCTTGGAAAAACTCTGGAGAAACTCTGAGGAAGGTCCGGAAGGATGCCATATCTTATATCTTCAACGTGCAGTTCAGCCTTCAGTTTCTCAAACTGTCCATACAGGGCTTTTTTATGATCCTCCTCCTCCTCCTCCTCCTCCTCCTCCTTCTCCCCTTCTTTCACCATCACAACAGCAATGGCACAATATGCATACATGAAGTACGCATCCATCGTCTTTGTCATATGAGACATGTTGAAGGAACGAGCAAAAAGGTCAAAAACCTTTTTGCTCCCTTCTTGATATAATATATATGATATAGCACGCCGACTAACTCGGCGACGGGTCAACAAGATGGTCAACATGGTCGGTGAGTTTGTCGGCGTGGGAAATTTTGCTCCGCTGCTAAGTTTCTTGGTTCTGCAAGCGGCCAGGATTCAAACTAATTGCTCGGCTAGACGCTCGACAAGGTGCTCGCCGTCCTAAGCTTTTGCTCATCGAACGTCTCCGAGTGTTCGCCGACACAATGACGCCAACAGTCATGACCAGACGCTCGTTACGATTAAACCCGAATTTGGCATTATCTTATCGGGAATTGCTGGTCGACTCTACTCCTGTATGTGTGAACACCGCATTAATCTGATGTCTGGCACGTTTCGTCACCCAGAGAAAGCCATTATACGGACCATTAGGAACTTCTTCTCACCTCAACGTATAGGGAGAGTGTTGTTCCGTGTTGCTTTGTCAAACTGTCCTTTTCATCAGAGCCAAACAGGAACCTTGGATCCCTTTTCCACCCAGGTTTGTGGTCACACCCCGACGTCCTCCCTACGTGTTCGTGAAGGACGAGGAAAAGAACCAGCAGAAGAGACGGGAGAAACGAGAGCCTCATGCTGTTGTTAGCTTGTCTCGTTGCTAGGTGAGGAAATACAAAAATAAAAACAACAGCACAAATCAATTCCCAGACTTTGCCAAACCACTGTGTGGGTAAAATCAAGCAAAGAGCTACTTCACGAACGATAACGGACGATAAGGAGAAGCACGTCTAATCGCTCTTCTAGATGAGTTCACCACAAGCTTTTGTTGGTGTCCTTGGTTGACAAGAGATTATTGCTCATCTCGCTTGGTATAGGAGAGCGATTTACAGTGTTCTACTTTTCCGTCCGTTGACGATCGTATGGCAGTGTTTAACATGACCACACCCTTACAATGTGCAAACAATGAGACTTATCACACGTCAGAAAGACCAGATACGTCACACAACTTCGAAATCTCATTGTGAACGAACCGCCCATAACCAGGCTCGACGTCAAAAGATGACACAGCTGGAATTTCGACCCGCACAAGTGTCACCGTGTGTACCCACCTTTTCCCTTAGACAGGAGCTGATACCTACGTGTTGATTAGATGTACTAAGGCGATGTGCAGTGGCTCTTAGTCCACAGTCTCGTTTTATACACACAGTCACAACAGCTGTTGACGCGATGCTAATTTGTTTTCCATACAAAACGCATAGATAACACTAAGATGTCCACATCGTCTTTTAGGACACCGTTACCTCTTTAACGTTTAAATTAAATGCTCTTAATCTCTGATTAGCTTTGACATACTGGAAGGTATATATTTGTTGTCACATTCAATTATTGGGCACACGCTTATAATTTAACAGGTATACAGTTATATAAACATTTCAGAGATAGACACGAAGTGAATTGAATGAAATTTGGAAGGCGTAGATCTAATTAAGTCAATATTCTTTAAAAAAGAGAAATGATAATCATTTAACAGTATTTTTTTAATCCGGTGTCATTCCCACAAAACGCCCCCCCTCCCCCGCCTTCT